GCCCTCCCCAGTGGCCTCCCCTGTGAGGGCCGCCCACCTGGGTGACCCCAGAGCCTCTTCCTCATGCTTCATCTGCTCTGCACGCCCGCCAGCCAGCCTGACAGCTTCCCGAAGCCTCCGGGGCGCAGACTGTGCCTGGTGTCTCTCTCTCCCCGTGTCTCTCTCTGTCTCTCTCTGTCCCTCTCTCTCTCTCTCTCTCTCTCTCTCTCTGTGTGTCTCTCTCCCCCCCTCTGCCCCCTCCCCCGCCCTTTGTCTCTCAGAGAAGGCTCTTCCCACCTCATTCCCCGCGGGCTCCTCTTCATCCCTCAGAGCCCCTCGTGGCCTGGCAGCCCCCGTGAGTGTCCACGCCACACGACTCTAGACGTTTGGCTTCTAGACTGGAATCTGTCACAGACTGTGACCAGGAGGGCAGTGACCAGGCCTCGGCCTCAGCCCCCTGCCTGGCCTGCACTGGCAGGGAGCAGGGCAGGCACAGGCCGGCCTTGAAGGCGGAGAAGTGGAGGGGGAGCCCTTAGCTGGGCCTCGGGACCCTGCCCTCCATCCCCCAGGGTGGGGCTCCGGCCCTCGGGTGCCCACAGCCCCTCTCCCACCCTCCGTGCCCAGCTGTTCCCATCAAGAGAAAGGGGAAGTATCTTTGGGGATTCTCGGACAGTCCCCTGGAGGCGGTCCTGCTGGGAGGTTGGGGTGTGGGGCTGATCCTGTGGGGCTCCATGGAGACCCAGGTCAGGCTGGGTGGAGGGCCTCATAGAGGGCAGTGGGGTGATGGGTGCTGGACTTGGGGGCCTGGGGCTCCTGCGCTGTTGCAGAGTGGTGTGGGGAGGCCCAGCCTGGGGGTGAGGGTCTGTGTTTTGTGTTTGTAACATCGACCAGCCTCTGCCTCAGTTTCCCCCTCTGCCCCAGGGGCTGGTGTGCACAGAATGCCATCTAAATCCCCTGCCTGGCCCCTGGCCCTGAGTGCCTGGGGAAGAGGCTTCCAGTGGGATCCCTGGGTCTCTTGGCTCAGTCCCTGGCTTTGGCAGGAGGAGGAAGGGCCCTTTGTCCCTGGGCCCAGGTCACAGTGGTGTTCAGAGGAGAGGCCTGGGCCACCAGGGTGTGTTGGGTCTGGGGAGTTCCCGAGACAGCAGGCCTGGGGCTGGGGGTTTGCCTGCCTCCCTCTCCCTGCTGGTTCTGAGTGGCCTGGGAGGTGTGATACCCTGCGGGCAACATTGGCGATGGGAATGGCTGGGGGCTGGGGGGGGGCCCGTCTCTGGCCTCCCTGGGCTCCCTCATTTCCTCCCTGATGACCCTGGTGCCCTGGACGGGGCCTGGCAGTGCTGGTGCCGGGAGAGCCTGAGCTGAATGAATGAAGGAGTGCTGCACTTAGTCGGGGTGCTGAGTGCTGGGTCCAGAGCCCAGGACTTTTCCTCCTGTTGCCCCAAAGGCAACACCCTGGACCCCTGGAGTCTGCCTTCCAGGGGAGGGGGCAGACCACAGAGAAGTAAGGGTGTGGGCGGAGGGCCGAGGCGGGCGGACACAGAGCAGGGAGCGGGGACAGGCCCCACTCAGCAATCAGAGGAGGCCTCATGAAAGAGGTGTCATGTTTAGGTGGTTGGTGAGGTTGGAGCCCTGAGGTATGGGTTAGTGCCCTTACAAGAGAGGCGCTAGAGGGCTCCCTCCCCTGACCACTGTGAAGACACGGGAGATGGAGCCACCTGGGCCAGGAAGGGACCCTCATCAGACCCCAAATCTGCGGCGCCTTGATCTTGGACCTCCAGCCTCTAGAAACGTGAGAAATCAATTTCTGTTTTTTTTTTTTTTGAGATCGAGTCTTGCTCTGTCGCCCAGGTTAGAATGCAGTGGCACAATCTCAGCTCACTGGAACCTCTGCCTCCTGGGCTCAAGTGATTCTCCTTCCTCAGCCTCCCGAAGTAGCTGGGATTCAGGCACCTGCCACCACGCCTGGCTAGTTTTTGTATTTTTAGTAGAGATGGGGTTTCACCGTGTTGGCCAGGCAGATCTCGAACTCCTGACCTCAAATGATCCACCCGCCTCAGCCTCCCAAAATGCTGAGATTACAGGAGTGAGCCACTGCGCCCAGCCAAATCTCTGTTCTTTTTAAGCCACCCAGTCTATGGTAGTTTTTCTTTTATGGCAGCCGGAATAGACCACGACACCCTCCTGCCTGCAACAGCCACGAGTGGACAAGCTTAATAAAGCAACTGTGTCCAGACACCAGGCACCGAGCAGCCGGGACAGCGGCACCGGTGAAGTCCCTCCCTGTGCCCGGTGTGGCCGGCCGCCCCCGCTGCTCTCCCCTCCCCTCTGCCACCCTGTCTTCTCTGCCTAGTCTGTTTCTCTCCTTTCTCCACCTCCCCATAGACGGGCTTGGAAAAGTCAGACAGACCTCTGAGGTCTCATCCCAGGGCTGCCGCCAGCCCAGCCTCCCTGGGACCTGCCTTCACTGCCCGGAGCCCTGGGAGCTGGGGACGCTCCTCCACCCCGGGGCTGAGTGAGTTTGGGCGCTGCACCTGCGGCTCCCACGTCCTCGGCCCCACTCCCGCAGGTGCAGCAGCTGACTGGAGACCGAGGCCGGACCTGGGACCAGCAGCTCCCCCGGAGTGTGGCCTCTCCCAGGAGCCTCATCATCTTCATCATCATTTTCTCACACCTGGCCTAATCGTGTGCATGAAAAGAAGAAAGCAAAGGGGTGAGCACATGGCGGCCCCATCAGGACTTGTGTCCCCAGCCGTTGCCTCTCAGAGCTCTGTCCCCACAAACCTGGGAGGTGGTTCCAGAGTTTTTCCAGCATCTGAGCCTCCTCCCAGAGCGGCCACTGCAGCCTGGGGCAAGAAGGCTTCCTGCTGTGTGTGGAGCCCAGATGTCAAGTGGCCACTCTGTGGGAAGGGAAGGTGGGGCCCCTGACCAGGGAGCCCTCTGCCACCCCTGCCCACCGCCTGTCCCTGGGGGCTGTGGGGTGAAGGGCAGGCTGAGCTGGGCTGGGGCCTGGCCTCCCATCCGGCACTGGGGGGCAGCAGGGTCCATGGGGTCAGCCTCTGAAGAGCTGCCTGGAAATCCAGATGATAGTCAGGGAGCCGGTCCGTGCACAGGAAGGCCCGGGGTCCCTGAAGAGCACTCCTCAGGTCGGGGAGAGGGCTAGGTGGGGCGGGGCAGCTGGAAGAGCCACTCTCTAGGGGCCCAGGCCGGGGTGGGTCTCTCCACACCCCAGGACGCTGGGCCAGGGCTTCCCCCGGAAATAGGGGCCAGGACAAAGGGTGACAGGGGAGGAATTGGGGTGGGCGGCTCAGATGGGAGTCTCCGCTGGAGGCAGGAGGTGAGCAGGATAGGAGGGGTTGTAGGTCCAGCCCCACAGGGTTCTGTGAGCCCCTCCCTGCTGGAGAAATAAAAGATACAAGACACAGAGATAGAGAAAAGAAAGTTTGAGGCCAGGGGTCCACTGCCAACCAAAGCTCGGAGGCCTGCAGGGACCCCGAGTGTCCGCACGCTCTTTTATTGAGTACAAAGCGGGGGGCAGGGAGAAGTACATCACCTGTCAAACACGTAGGGGCGCAGGAATTTCCACGCTGAGATGAGGTAAGGGGTATAAGGCATTAGCACTTTTCCATGCTTGTCACAAAGACATTAAGATTTATGTCACTTTTACTGATTAATTCTTACAAGACAAAAGGAACCAGGTGCAGAAGCAGAACATGAGAGTGGACATGGAACGTGACTGCTGAAGCGCAGCGTCCCATAGAGACATTTAAACCCCCGATGTCTGCGGGCCGACCTGACAGCGTCAGGCCCAATGCAAGAGCTTGGAGAATCGGAGTTTTCTCCTAACTTCCCCAGGAAGAAGTCTGGGCCATCTTGGACGTCTCCTTCCCTGGCTGGCTAAACAGCGGGCGCTTTCCCGGCGCTGGCGCTGCCGCACAGCCGAGGCGCCCTCCAGCAGCCCTGGCGCGGGCTTAGAGCATCTCGCCTTAGAGTCATTCATTTCACAGTGTCACCCCAGGTTCACACTTCCGACCTGAGAGGCATTAGTAAAATAATTAAGATCTGGGTCTGTTGGTGGGGAGTAGGGGAGGGACAGCAGGGGGTAGGGAGGTTGGGGAGGGATAACATGGGGAGAAATGCCAGATACAGGTGACGGGGGAGGTGAAGGCAGCAAACCACATTGCCATGTGTGTTCCTATGCAACAATCCTGCGTGATCTGCACATGTTCCCTGGAATGTGTATATATAGGCAATAATACATACATATGCAATTATATATGTGTATATATCTTTTACATTAAAAGAGGCTTAAGGAACATAGCAACTTGGAAAAAAAAAGAATTAAGATCACCTGTGAGTAACTAAGATCACCTGTGAATGACTAATAACGACTATGGTTATATTTCTAGTTACTTTCTTCTTCATTATTTGTGTGGAAATAGGCGGAGGCCTTTGGTTCCTGCCTTGGCACTTAGGGGTCTTCTCCCTACAGGGGAAGGACGGGTGGAGAGGGCACGCCGTGGGCTCCTCCATCCTCACGGCATGGCGGTCGGGTCGTTCCCCTCCCAGCTTCTGCCTCCAGATGTGGGGAAAAGGGCCTCGTCCCAGGCACAAAACGAATGTGTGGCTCAGAGGCCTGGGCACACCCCTACCAGCAGGGCCTGGGCCTGTTGGGTGGCCAGTGAAGGTGAGCGGCAGGTCGGCTGGGCACAGCGGGTGTCGCTGATGCTGGGATATCTCAGTGGACACAGTCGGGAAGTGTAGGTCAGATGTAGATCCAGGTTTTTTTTGGGCAAATCTGAGACCACTTGAGCATGAAGATCCACAGCAGTAGCCTCGGACGGAGCCACAGAGGTCAGGAGGACCCGCTGAGCGCTGGGCTGTTGGGTGCGAAGGGGCGGGTGGGGCTCCTCTCTGGGTGGAGCAACGGTGGAGGGAACGCCCAAGCGTGGCGGGGGAGGGCAGGGTGGCTGCATGCCCAGCAGCTGTCCGGGACCTCCTCTTTCAGCAAGAAATACCGGCAGGTGAAAGTTTGAGGAGAAACAAGATATTTCACCCTCCCACAGCCACAGGACCTCCCCAAATACAGTTTCACACAAATAACAGGAGCCGAGCCCAAGCTTAGAAAATCGCTTCGACTGTGATAGCCACTTAATGCCACGCACGTGGCCAACCAGTCGAGCCTTGGTTGTGAGGCAGTGCCAGGGCCTGCCCTGCTAAGGGTTCACACCGGCGGGCAGCTGGGGTCTGGAGCACCCTCTGGGCCGGCCAGGAGGGCTGGGCGTGCGGGCCGAGAACAAGGACTGTTCCTCAGGGCTCTGGGGAGCTCAGGCAGCAGCAGAATGGAGGGTCCAGGCGCTCACTGGGCCATGGGGAGGGCACGTGGCACCCCCACCCCAGCAGGGGCCCACCTCTCCCTCCGCGGAGGAGGTGGGAATCAGCCCGGCAGAGCCCCGAGCTCCTCTGGCGCCTGCAGTCCTGCCGGGCACGGCCTCTCAGCAGCTGCCGCTCCAGGTCTCTCTGGCATCGGGCGTGCAGTCTTTTGGTCAGTGGTTTGGGCTCTCCCCCGTGGATGTGGGTGTTGTCTCCTCCTCGGCCACCGTGGTGACGTGTGGAGGAGTCTGCAGGGCCTCGGCGACTGACTGTTCCTCACCTGCCTCCTGTCCGGGGACAGGACAGGTCCTCGGGCTCGTCTTACTGCTTTCAGTTTGAGGAGGTGTGTTCCCTCCTGAGCTAGTGTGGCTATAATTGAGGGACTCAGGAGCCTCAGAGAACTGGAACCCCCCACCCTGCACACCAAAAACACCAGCCCAGCGGGGAGCGGAGAAGGGGAGGGCAGAGGAGAATCAATACCTGGAGGGAGGCATTCAGCCGGAAGTTGCCTGCAATGAACAGACACACAGGTCAGGTGGGGCAGTGTCTGATCAGGGCACACAGGCTCTCGGCAATGGGGGTCTCATGGTGATGGAGGGGACAGGCTCTCGGTGGTGGCAGAGGCACCAACTCCTGCCTCTCCCTGGGAGACCTTCCCTAAGGGACTGGCCCTATCTGAGAGCAGAGACCAGCTGTGTTTGGACTGCCAGCCCAGCCCGTCCAGGAGGCCCAGCACAGCGAGAGGACTGGGGGCGCCCGGCCCACCTCCCCAGCTGCCGCCCCAAGTGTGTAACTAACCCCGATTCAACCATCGTCTACGGGAGAGGGACAAGCACTTGACAGCAGAGAGGCCCTGCCCCCCATCCCAGCAGGTGCCCAGCTGGGTGAGACTGAGCTGCTGCCCAGCCTGCCCCAGAGCCTGAGGCCCCAAGACCTCCGTGCATCGGGGGCCACGGGGGAGGATCAGGTAGCTCTGCTGGAGGATGGGGCTGGCCTCCCCTTTGGACCTCAGTGTTAGAAGCTGTGTCCTTGGGGGCTGTGCACAGGGCTCCCAGGGCCACAGCTGGGTCCATACAGCTGGGTCAGTTCCCAGGAGGCCAGGCACAGCACAGGTGCCCACAGCACCGTGGATAAGTGGAGGAATGAATGAATGAACGAATGGCCTTACTCTCCTCAATGAGGACACGGCCTTGTCTGTTGATCCTCAGCCCACAGCCTGTCCCAGCCAAGCTCAGCCTGCCCTTCTTCCTGCAGCCCTGGGAGCAGGCGGGGGCACAGGACCCTGGAGTGTGTGGACAGGGGCGGCAGTGGGCTCCCTGGTCAGGGGCGGCCTTCCCTTCCCCTGGGGCGGCCACCTGCCACCCGGACCCCGGGCACAGCAGGAAGCCCACCTGACACCCG